TGGGTCATGGTAAGAGCGCGTTCATACTTCGCGATCGCTCGACTGGATCGCACGAATCGCTCGGCTGCACCGCGCGAATCGCTCGACTGGATCGCACGAATCGCTCGGCTGGACCGTGCGACTCGCTCGAGTGGGTCGCGCAGTTGGATTGCTCGAATGAATCTCTCGCCTTGGTCGCCTTGGTTGCGCGGTAGGATCGCTCGATGACCGCGCGATCGCGAAGTCTGAACGCGCTCTAACAGTGGTCATGAGTGTACATTCCACTTCACAATAAAAAGCGTCAGAGCACGTTCAGACTTCGCGATAGCGCGGTCGTCGAGCGATCCTACCGCGCGACCAAGGCGAGAGATTCATTCGAGCAATCCGACTGCGCGATCCAGTCGAGCGATTCGCGCGGTCCAGCCGAGCGATTCGTGCGATCCAGTCGAGCGATCGCGAAGTATGAACGCGCTCTTACCATGACCCACAATTCTCAAAACGCCAGTAAATTTAGGACCAGTGGGTTTATATAAATATGTCAAGATTTGTTTTCCTCTACAAAGAGGAAGAACCAAAAACCTAGGAAAAAATAACAGGAACCAACATGTATACGAGTGAGCCACCACTGTTGGTTAGTCAGCAGGCAATGAAATTTCCTACAGACCAAGCGTACATGACGAACCAAATGCCTTCCTCGTACGTAATCAAAAATCAACAAAAGCAGTTCAGAGGGAAGCTGCAAAAGCATTCCTTGCTCGTCATCTTCCTCTGTTTTCATTCACTGAAATACAAAATGTGGCACTAAGGCAGTACATAAGACAATCGACAACCGGAAACAGCAAAAATGACGTCAATGAACCAGGAAAATAGAAAACCATGGAAACAGGCACAATGTGGTCCATCGAATACAACATGCCTTCTCAATGCATATTTGATGCGAAAGAAGAGTCGTTCCTCGGGCATTCGTGCATTGTTCTCCTATGACAGTCTCGTCGTAATTTCGCGACCAATATCTGTTTCCATGGGATGACGAATTCATGGCGCCATGAATTTTCCATAATAAATACCATAGAAACGCTTGTTCCCCTTTTCCTTTCATGCAACTGCGACAGCAGGTTTGAACTACCTCGCAGCGGCATTCATGGTGTTGCAAATGCAAAATATGGTAAGCTTAGTTCCTCGCTACAGAACAAGGACCGCGTCGTACAATGAGAAATCCCCAGCGGGGGGAGGGTCGTATTTGGTCGCTGGGAGAGGGGTCATAGTTTGCACTTAGGAAAAACTTGCCGCTTCAGGGTAACTTTGAAAAAAAAATTAGGGCTATTGACATTTCCTAGTTTCTCGACCTTCACATGTGCTATAAGTACCCCTCCCCGCTCGACACACAACCGAAAAAAATTGGCGGGAAACTGGAAAATTTGTGGGAAGTTTCAGAAAAAGTTATGGGAACTTGGGAAATTTTAGAAGACTAGGCAAGGCGTAAGTAGAATGGGGAAGGGAGGGCCGCATCAGAGGGAAATTCGAGTGGGGTGTATCTGCAAAAATTTTCCTCCTGCAGAGCAAATGCCCTGGGTAGAACTCTAACTGCTCTAGGATATGAGGCGGCATCCCTATTATGCCTGAACTGCCGCAAATGAATTTTCCAGCTTTCCATTCGCTTTTTTATGCAAAAGACTGAAAAAGCGGCTGCTATGTTTAGATACTTTTGCGCGGGTCTCGCGTGGCGTTTCGTCAACAGTGCTGATAATGCATCTTATAGCTCCAGAAAGCGGGGTATTAGAATAGGCGCTTCTTCAGAGAGAGAGAGAGAGAGAGAGAGAGAGAGAGAGAGAGAGAGAGAGAGAGAGAGAGAGAGAGAGAGAGAGAGAGAGAGAGAGAGAAGAGAGCCTTCCAGGGAATTCTAATATGTACTTTGAGAGGCCCATAAAAAATCAAAAAAAATTCTTTATGAGGCAAGAATTCAAGTCAGCGATCCGTAAACTAAACGGAGGTTTTCTTTTTCCAAAATTGGTTCTCAGTTGAAAAGAATTTTTCGAGCTTTTCCTAAACCTTCTTTCTCAATCAGATCGGAACGCTTGACGGCAACGAAAAACGCTGGGAGCGAAGGCTCATTGCGTAAACAAGCTCCAAAAGCGAAAATAGGGTAGACAAATGAGGGCAGAGGAAGCTACGCGAAGAAGGGACGGCATTAGATATTACGTCAGCGTAAGTTGCGGCATGACAAAAAGAAAGAGTTGATTCATAAATCACTCGCATGGCCTCAAAGCGGGATGACATCAGCGTTATTATGTCCGCCTAGAACCGTCGCGTCCACCGTGGGCGTTTCAACGACTTTATTCCTGGTTTAGAAACTACCAGGGCAAGGTGATTAAGAAGAAAAACCCGGGTGAAAAGATCATCAGAATCCCTTCAGCTCACGAGATCCATCTTAACTCGAATCTCGCAAAACTGCCACATTAGAAAAGGCATTCCGTTTCTGTGCAAAGTTATAGTGTGATTCCGAAAGAGAACACTGTTCTGACACACCCAGCAGTGGAAGCATAACATGCGCTGGAAACACCTTTCTAATACTATCACGCCCCTCACGCCCCCTTCCCAAGAGCCCTCGAGCGAAGAGCAAAGGGATACTGTACACGCCAGCAACGGGAAACTCTCAATAATTAAAGAAAACAATCACGCTAGAAATGTCTTTTCTCTTCCACGCTGAGAAACTGCCAGCTGTAGTCCTAATATGATTACAAACCTTCAGGCCATACCTTGCGACACTAGAAACTAGAAGAATAAAGGATTGAGAGCCAGCGGAGTGAAAGGGAATCGACTGAATCCGTCGCCTGCGACACCGGCAAATTCGAATATAGGATAACAGAAACCAGGAGAATCGAGGTCGGATCAATTTTCCACCTCATCCTCTGGTGTCTCTCCTCACCTCGTGTCGCAAAGTATGAACGCAGTCTTTCATAGTGAGACTGTGCTCTTAAAGACAGTTCTCGCGATGAAGTGATCACCCAAGTGCTCCCGTGCATACAACATTCAGGTGCGCACTCGCATACCGAAAACCACATTTGCCGCTCAAAAGCGCGATATAGAACGGTCACAGACGCATGGCCCTTGCATGCTTTGCGGCTTACTATCAAGGGGCAAGCAGCGCACCTCGACAGTTTGCGGGACCGTTGAAAAGCTGAGATTCCCCGCGACAAGCATATGAAATCGTCCTACGACGCTGCATACAACAAAATGCGCATACGCAATGTCACCGAGTAATTCGTTGTTTTGCAGACTGAAAAGAACAAAGTGTGCAAGAGCCACGCGTCTGTGGCCGCTTTACCTCGCCTTTTCGAGAGGCGAAAAAAGGTACAAGTTGAGCGGACTCAGATGTGAAATGCACGGAGGCGTTTCGCGGATTACTTGGTCTGTTTACAGTCTTTGAGTCAAATTGAAACTAACAAAAACTGCAGACTACCAGAGTTACCAGCACACACTTTGTAAATAAACAAATAGCAGAACGGTCATTAAAATAGGAAAAAACAGAAAAATAATAATCGGGGTAAAGTAAAGCCTTCTCGGATTTCTTACAAGCCGATTAACCCGTAAACTCATCGACATTTCAAAATACAAGCATATTTATTGACAGAACTTTGCCAAAGATCACCATCAAAGATCGATACATAGTAGAACAACGTTGGACGTGAGATGCTGTGACAAACCTACTAGACATAAAAACGTCGCTCTCAGAAGACAAGACGCTGAACACGTTACAAAACAAATATTTACAATTTTATATCTTTACGCGTAATGATTAAGCTTATAAGGGTCAAGTGTGGTAACATCGAAATCGGGCATCCACTTGATTCGAGACGGATCAACAACCCGTCGCCTCAACATTGACAGCGGGAACTTGAACGCGAGTTTCTAAGATAACTAATCAATAAAACGAGATAACGAATCAATAAAATAACCATAGCCGCTGCATTTCACCTAAGAAGAAGGCACTGACGCCATTTGGGAGGGGGCACAATTCGACTGTAGGGTTACCATGGCGACTCTGATCGTCTGCGCCCCTCCTTTCACTGAGGAAACGATCGTTCTCTCCTTCCAGACTAGTACAGCGTTCAGAGTTCGCGATGATGCGCATCGACCCGCTGCGACGCGTTACAACTGCAACAGCGCTCCAATACTGTAGACGCGAACGCCGCCGCAGACGGCAATCGATCGGCGCCGGCCGCTTATGTATTAAAAATGCA